TCATTAGCACACTGATGGCTGTTTACTGTTCACAGAGGGCTGAGTGATACTAGCAATCACAGCATTGTAAGAGGGGGGCAGTTGAACCCGGAGGCCTCCACCCCTGTTTAACGATGGACGATTTCTTTTCACAAAGATGGCCTGCTTTACTCCTCTCTCAAACCATCGTTCCTCTCTGTCCAGGATGTGAACATCTTCATCCCTGAAAGAGTGACATCTGGCCTGGAGATGAGTGTAGACCGCAGAGTCCTGGCCTGATGATGTTGATCTTCTGTGCTGGGCCATCCTTTTGGCCAGTGGCTGTTTTGTTTCCCCGATGTAAGACTGATCACAGCCCTCCTGACACTGAACAGCATACACAACATTGCTCTGTTTGTGCCGGGGGACTGGATCTTTGGGATGAACCAGTCTTTGCCGTAATGTATTTTGGGGTTTAAAAGCCACTGGGACGTTATGTTTAGAAAATAAACGTCTCAGTTTCTCTGATACTCCCTCAACATATGGAATGACCACTGGTCTGGGTCTGGGTCTGGGAGGAAGGATTTTGTCAAAAGAATGGAAATGGCTGTAGTCAACACATTTTCAAAAAAGAGGGAGGAACATAGAGTGATCTATAAGAGTGGAGGAAGGAATATACAGGTAGACTACATTCTGTATAGAAGAGGGAACCTGAGGGAGAGTGAAAGTGAGGGCTATAAGCTTCTGACAGAGGAAAGTGTGATCAGACAACATCAGATGGTATTGTGTACAATGACTGTTGTTTGGAAGAAGAGAAAAATAGTACAATCAGAGACAAAGACCAAGTTGTAGTAGTTGAGGAAAGAAGAATGTTGTAAATAGTTCAGAAAAAAGCTGAAGGCTCTTAAGAAAGAACTTTCAAATGACTGGCCTAGTATAGGAACAGTATTTAGAGAGACAGGTAGGAAGGTACCTGGTGTGTCATGTGAACAGAGAAAAGTTGATAATGAAGCCTTGCGGTAGAACACTGACGTGCAGGAAAGCTATTCAAAGAAAATGGTTGGCCAATAAGAAATATGACAGTGAATGGACTGAAGAAAGTAGACAGGAACAAAAGGTTATGCAACATAGAACACAGAGGGAGGTAGACAAGGCAAATAAAAAGACATATGATGAGTTGTATGGGAGGCCAGACACTAAAGAGTGCGAGAAGGACTTGTACCGACAGTGGTGAGATGTGCTGTAGGAGTGACATATAGCTTCAAGGTGGAGGTGGGATTGCATCAAGGAATGTCTCTGAGCCCCTCCTTGTTTGTTCTGGTGATGGGCAGAGTAACAGATGTGGTCAGGTAGGAATCTCCATGGACTATGATATTTGCAGATGACGTGATCTGTGGTGAGAACAGGGAACAGATGGAAGAGAACTTAGAGAGGTGGAGGTATGCTTTTGAATAAAGAAGAATGAAGGTCAACCGTATTAAGACAGTAATACAAAGTACATGTGTGCGAATGAGAGATACTGGTGGAACAGTAAGGCTACAAAAAGCAGAGGTCACAAAGGTGCAGGACTTCAAGTACTTGGGGTCAACTGTCCAGAAAATAGGTAGAAGGTAGGTGTAAGGCATGTTTCTGATTTATAGCCAACATCATACCTCCGAGTTCCTCCATGTTAGACTGGTTGGTCTTCTGTCAAAAGAGGATCTGCTGCAGGGTGTCCTCATGTTTATCAATGTGTTTAATCTGAGAAGAGAATGAGTGTTGAAGTTGTTCACCATCAGTCATTTGCTGGGTCTGGCTGGAGCATTTCTGTTATGTTTAATGGACACCCCAAAGCAGAGACTGAGAGGTGAACAAAACTCCAAGACCAAGAATAATATTAAAGTGATTTCATTTACAGTGCGCAGGAACCCCGGGGGAAAAAAAGGATAGGGATTAGCTGACATTTTCCGAGAGGTGTATGCTTATGTGAACGTCTTGGCCTTACTTTATGAAAAGGTAGTAGTGTGTGTTGTAGGAAGGCAAGGGAAGGCAGCTGAGGAGACAACAAAGGATTCCAGGCATTTATTTCTGCAAGGTCCAGACTCAGGTAGATCATGATAAAGTTTGCTGTAAGGCAAAGGCAGACAGGTCAATCTTTCTCAGACAACAACAATGTAAAAGGCTAGAAGCACTACTACCATAGCAAGTTCTACATCAAAAAGAGTAATCTGCTGCTCTTTATACCCCAGGCGTCTCATCAGTCATATTCTTCTCAGCTTTGTTGAATGCTGGTGCTCTCTGGTGTCTTAAGAGCAGCAGCAGCAAGACATGAACTTCAAAAGCTCAGAGTTGTTTGCTCTGGCAAGAGGAATTGTCTTGTATATGGAGAAAATGACAGATACAAAAACAGTCATACATGTTCCACATGAAGATGCTGTGATAAGAAGTATTCCCATAATTTCTTGATATGACTGAAACTGAAGCTGCACAGTGGCACTGTTGGTAGAGCTGCTGCCTCTAAGTGAGCAGGTCACTCTGGTTCAAATCTTGGTCCGGGGGCCTTTCTGGGTGGAGTTTGCATGTTCTCTCCATGCATGCATGGGTTTTCGCCGAGTACTCTGGGTACTCCAGTTTCCTCCCACAGACCAAAAACATGCCTTTTAGGCTGATTGGTAACTCTAAATTGTCCATAGGTGTGAGTGAGAAAGTGAATGGTTGTTTGTCTCGTTTGTCTCTATGTGGCCCTGTGATGGACTTGTGACCCGTCCAGGGTGTACCCCGCCCCTCGCACAGTGATTGCTGGACATGGGCACCGGCGACCCCCGTGACCCAAAATGGAACAAGCGGGTAAAGAAAATGGATGGATGGATGGATGGCAACTCTAAATTTTCCCTAGGTGTGAGTGAGAGAGTGAATGGCTGTTTGTCTCATTTATTTCTATTTGGTCCTCTGATGGACTTGCGACCTGTCCAGGGTGTACCCTGTGTAGTGAACTCGGCCTCCGACCAAAACCTGCCTCTGAGGACCTCCATGGGACAACTGTTATTTCATTGATTTGAACCCAGAAATACAAATTAGCTCATCCAGAGACTGTCTAATTGTATCCTGAAGTAATCAATTGAAAGAACACTCTTCTTTTATATTATCATCACTATTTTACAATATCTTGATAAATCAAAAGTGTGTTTAGTTCATACCATTTCTAAATGTTGAAGTGAACCACTCATTTTAAATCAACTGTGAAACAGTATTAATGATTTTTTAATGCTCATTTAAATTAGAAATCAAGTTAAAATGTCTATTTTACAAAGTAAGCATGCATTTTTGATCTTCTGTATAAGTGAGAAGTAATGATGTTGGTCGAAAGTCAGAAAAGAAGTTATTGGAACGAAGTGTCACATTTTTAAACCTAGTAGACGGTAAACAAGAGGCTACTGGCCTCTCTTCCTCCCACTTCGACATAACATGTCTTCTGTCTGTAAGGGACATTTCTAAAACATTCCTGCTGTTTTCTTGACTTGTAATGACCCTCTGACATCACTAGAACCACCCCCTGTTAGTTGCTTCAACCAATCAGGAAGTACTAAAATGACCGGAAGTGATAACTCTTTAAAAGTCGACACTTCCTGGAACTGTTCAGTTCTGGAGTCAGTGCTGAGTTCTTCAGTCTTGTGAGTCGAGTTGAGACTATGGAGTCTTCCCCATCTGAGTGGAAACTCTGAACGGATTCACAGATGCTTGTTGTGAGTCCACCTGGGCATAAATGCCCTACAACTTCGAAGGGAGCTGAGCCTGTTTGTTGAACGGAGTAAGGGACACGACTTCTGACGGTGGCCAGCCATACTTACCAGAGACGCTGAAAGGTCGCATTGAAATGGACTCCTGTTCCTGAGCGGAGGTATCCCGGCAAAGGTAATGAGTCGTGACGCGCCAAGTGTACCGGAGGTGAGCTGGTATTGAAAGGAGCGTGCCATCCTGGTCCGAACAGACACTCCCTTTATCCATCTTTTTCTCTCCATTTAAACTCCTCCATTTTCCCATCTTTAAACTCTTCTATTTTGCCAGTAATTAATCTAGAGGCCTTCAGAAATGTCTGTTGTTTTTATTAAGTAAAACGTGCCAAGTTTTATTAATCAGAACCAGATCAGCTAATCAAGTGTACAATGTTTTGATGTTAAATTTTGATTCTATTCAATAAATGACCGCATTGATTCTGATGGGTCAAAGAAAATTAACGTCTCATGTCACTGATTAAACAACCTATGCATAGTTACCTCGGTCACATGGCTGTAATTAGCTCGAAAAAGAGAGAACCCGTTATTTAAAATATATTGTAGTGAAGGTACAGCAAAGCTGACCTTGACACACTACACCTGCCTCTCGCACAGTGATAGCTGGACATGGGCCCCAGTGACCTCAGTAACCCGAAAAGGACGAAGCAGGTACAGATGATGGATGGATGAATAGAAACTGCCTCTTTAGTTACACAGGCATCTCTTCTCTCATTTGACCACTATTCAGGAAGACATATCTCACAGGTGAGTAAGAACCTAATCAGAAGTGCTATAGAACAATGCATGCTCTGAATAGGTTTAAGCTAAACAAACTTAAAAAGTATTAAATGCATCCTAACCTCTCTTTATGTCCTCCCTCTTTTTGTCAAACATCTTCTCAATGGACAACAAGATGTATTTGCTTTGTCTGAGAGTGGGTGCCTCAGAGGAGATGAGGACATGTTTGGTGCTTTGCCTTAAATAATCATGGATTAACAGTGAGATGACAGACTCGGCCTTCCAGCTAGATGACAGACTCTTTTTTCGATCGGATCTCTGCAGTGAGCTAACAGGGAAATCGAGGGGAGGTGGAGTATGCATTTATGTGAGTAAAAGTTGGTGCACAATCTGTACTCTGATAAACCGTCATTGCTCCAAGGTTTTGGAGCAGCTAACAGTGAAATGTCGACCACATCATCTACACCACAAGTTCACAGTGGCCTTCATAACAGTTGTTTACATAGCTTTGGATGCTAATACTACCAACGCTCTGCAGGAGCTTCATGATCTTTTCAGCTCGCTACAAAGCAAACACCCTGAGGCTCTTTATGTAGTGGCTGGTAACTTTAATCATATAAATCTAAAAAAATGCCTCCCAAGTTCCCACAGTTCCCACCTGCCTGAAGACTGCCAACTTCATCATCCCAGTCCCAAAGAGCTCTACAGTGACTGGTCTAAATGATTATAGGCCAGTAGCCCTCATCCCTGATAGCTTTGCAGAGAGAAGGTGAAGGCTGCACAGAAGTCTGTTTGAGTCAACCTCCCCACCATCACAAACATCTACACCTCCAGATGCAAGAAGAGGACCACCTGCATCATGAAGGACCCCACTCACCCAGCACACATACTTTTTGACCCGCTCCCCTCAGGAAGGAGGTTAAGGAGCATTGAATGTAGAACCACTAGACTGAGAAACAAATTCTACCCTGAGGCTGTTAGACTCATGAATCTCTAACCAGGATAATCATTGTGAAAAATCATGTTGCTACTGATCTTTTTCATGTTGCTGTGTTCATTTGTACTCATCTGCTCACACAGACTCATGTCTGTGCTGATGTTTGGGGTATTGTTTTTATTATTTTTATACTATTAGTGTTTATCATATTTTAGTTGATGTTTTTCTTAGTTCAAATCTTAGATCTTTTGACTGTTTTTCTTTTACATTTTATTGTTGGATGTAACTGGGACCCTGTGTACTTTGTACATAATTTAGTTTCACTACATGTACCACATGGGGTGTGAACGACAATAAAGAGACTCTGACTCCAAGAATTTGCTAGCATGTGGCCATACCAACACGTGGAAACAACATGCTGGACCATGTTTACACAAATGTTAAAGGTGCATACAAAGCCAAACCCTACCCCCACCTAGGATTCTTTGATCACGTCTCAATCTTCTTGGCTGATGCTTACCTGCCCCTGCTGAGACGCTCCAGACGGGTACAAAACAAAGTTAACTCTTGGATCCAGAATAGTGTCCCCACACTGAAAGACTTTCAAAGACACAGACTGGCAGGTCTTCAGAGAAGCTGCTGAACATGGGGGGACACTAGACCTGGTGCAATACACATCCTCAGTTCTGGGGTACATTAGTAAATGTGCAGATGACGTCACCACCATCAGATATGTTAAGAGTTACCCGAACAGGTTGAATGCAGAGGTTTGCACCCTACTGGAAGTCAGGAACACTGCCTTCAGGTCTGTAAACTCACAGGAGCTGAGAAGGACAAGGATCGATCTGGTTGCTAGTATTGAGGGCCAAGGCTACATATGCACAGAGGATCCAAAGTCAAATCAAGTCAAATTTATTTATATAGCACATTTAAAACAGTGACTGTTATCAAAGTGCTTAACAAAACAGATCACAGCATCAAATATTAATAAAAAGATATTACAGCATCAGGAATAAAAGCATAAAAACACAAAATATAATTAGCGATAATGAAATACTAAATCAAATCACCCTGAGTTAAATGTCAGGGAGTAAAAGCAAAAGGCATGAACACAATCAGAAACAAATAAATACCAAATGAGATTGCACTGTGTTAAATGCCAATGTCTGTGTTGTGAAGAGCAGTCTTTGATAGATCCCTGTTCTTTAAATCAAACAGGGTGCCCACTCACACATGATCGTCATCCTGTTGATAGAAAGCAACTGACTAATTTCTTTTTCAAATTAACTGCTAATCCTAGAGGTTCACATACTTTTGACACTCACAAATATGTAATATTGGATCATTTCCCTCAAAAAATAAATGGCCAAGTATAATATTTTTGTCTCATTTCTTTAAATGAATTCTCGTTATCTACTTTTAGGGCTTTTGTGAAAATCTGATTATGTTTTAGGTCATTTATATGCATAAATATAGAAAATTGTAAATAGTCCACACAGCGAGCTTGTATTAGAATATTGTAATCAACAGTATCAAATGCAGCACTGAGGTCTAACAGGACCAGTATAGACACAAGTCCATTTTCAGAGGCCATGAGAATATCATTAGTAACTTTCACCAGTGCTGTTTCTGTGCTATGATGAGCTCTAAACCCTGACTGAAACTCCTCAAACAGATTATTTCTTTGCAGATGTTCACGCAACTGGCCTGCAATTATTTTCTTCAGAATTTTTTAGATGTATGTCAGATTAGATACAGTTCTATAATTGTCCAGAATTCCTGAATCAAGATCGGATTTCTTAAGTAAAGGTTTAATTACAGCAACCTGAAGGTGCTGTGGTACATACATATTCACTAGAAACAAATTAAACAGATCCAAAATAGGGGTATTAATTAGGGGAATTACCTCTTTAAACAGTCTGGTTGGCAGGGGATCTACTGTAGCAGACATGCTGATGGTTTGGATAAAGCTATTATTTTTGACAGAGGCAATGGTAGGAATGAAGGTATGAATTTCATACTTTCCACTGTTGCCTTTGTGCTTGCTCTGTATGGGAGACTGTGATGAAATGAAGACTCAACACAATCTCCTTCCTTAGATAGATAACTTTACTAAATTACATTTATAATGTATATGAATGTTTTTTTGTTTGTTTGTTTGTTTGTTTGTTTTTTCAGTGATCTGAGATAACGTCTGCTGTGACTTGGTGCTATATAAATAAACTGAATTAATTTTCTCTCTAATCAAAATAATTTTACTTAGAATCCCATGAAGTCATTGCTGCTTATAACTGTATGGGTACATGGCTCAATAAAGATAGGACTTTTTTTCAATAGTCTAGTTATAGTACTAAGCATAAACCTTGAGTTATTTTATTTTCATCTATTAAAGATTAATAATATACAGTTCTAGATTTACAGAGGACTTTCTTATATGTTAGCAAGCTATCCAAGTCTATCCAAGTTAAATGCAATTCTTCCATGTTGGTGGAGTGCAATTTTCTTTCTAGCTTTACATATGTCTGTTTTAAAGTAGGTAACTCAGAATTCAACCAATTCAAGAGCCAGTTTTCTTTGAATTTTTTTTTTTTTTTTTTTTTTTTTGCAGGATCCTTAGATTTTGCACAATGCAGGATCCAGTCATTAAGCAATCTTCTGTGAGACCAAACACATTTGAGAGAAATAAACCTTCACGGTATGAACAGAAAGTCGCAGCCAGTGCTTGACACTCAACCAGACAAAATTGTTTATTAAAACAAGACAAGCTAAAGATTACTAAGTAGTTACAAAATCAATATATTACAATATACTATTTAAAATATTTTTGTATCACAATGCTTTTTTTTAAAGAATGTTGTGCTGCATTTGCCATCATGTTCTTTTTTGTATTCTTTTCAGGTTTCATCAACACAATGTAACATTTTGGAATGAAGATACATAACAGCAGACCAAAACTAGAAGCAAGAATGGCAAATATTTCTACAGCAACACTGAACTTTCCAGGAGAGCTGACATATGCTGGGATAAAAGCTATCCATACTACACAGAATATCAGCATGCTGAAGGTGATAAATTTTGCTTCATTAAAATTATCAGGCAGTTTTCGAGCCAGAAAAGCACAAATAAAACACAATATGGCAAGAAGTCCAATGTACCCAAGGACAGACCAGAAGCCTACAGCTGAACCTAGAGCACACTCCAGGATGATTTTATCTTTAAATTCTTTAAAGTTCTTGGATGGAAATGGAGGGGAAATTGTTAACCAGAGGATACAGATGATAACTTGTATAAGAGTAAAACTTAGAACACTGAGTCTCTGTTGTGTAGGCCCAAACAATTTCATCATGTTGCTGCCTGGAAGTGTAGCTTTAAATGCCATTAAAACCACCATTGTTTTCCCAAGAATACAGGAGATGCAGAGAACGAAAGTGATGCCAAAAGCTACATGTCGGAGCATACAGGACCACTCAGAGGGACGTCCAATAAAAGTCAGGGAGCAGAGAAAACACAAAGTCAAAGAGAAAAGCAGCAGGAAGCTCAACTCAGAGTTGTTTGCCCTTACAAGAGGAGTTTTCCTGTATCTGAAGAAAATGACACCTACAGCAGTAGTCAGACATGTTCCAAATAATGAGGCTGTGGTGAGAAGTATTCCCATAATTTCTTCATATGACAAAAACTCATCCTCTTTTGTTACACAGGCATCTCTTTTGTCATTTGACCAGGAATCAGGGGGACATCTCACACAGGTGATAGCATCTGCAAATAAATGATTTATTTTAGATCAGTCTCATTTCTTTTTATTTGTACAAAATTGTAATTGCAATAACTTCAGATTATTTGAAGAAAACATATATTTATAGCTTGCACATGCAACTTGCACAATGGTTTAAATTTTGGCTGTGCAGGTCTTTCAATTCAAGTCAGTTCAGTTTAGTTATATAGCGCCAAGTCACAACAGAAATCATCTCAGGGCACTGCACAGAAACATTCATATACAAAATATGTAAGGTCTTTATGTTGATTGGTAGCAATGCTAATGGTCTGACCTGCTGCAAGAAGTAGATGAATGAGCTAACAAAAATAACAAACCGAATGACCAATTTCTTGCAATAAGTTTATAGAATGCTTTTTGAATATTTTTTCAAGAAAATTGTGTGTTGTAACTATACAGTAGTCCCTCACTACTTTGCGGTTCGTTTATCGCGGACTCGTTCTATTGCAGTTTATCATAATAAGATTGGACATGATGACACACAATTGGTGGAATGATGGATGAGCCACACGATTGGCATGGAATTTTAATTTAATTTAATTTTTTTAATTATTATTTAGTACCTGCGGTACTAAACTAGTGTACGGATCACCGCAATAAATGAGGGACTAAGATTTTGAATGACAAAATGAAAATTCCAGTGAACATTCATGGTGAACACAGCGTCTCACTCAGATCCAACTCTCGTATTTTAGTTGTGGTTACAATTAAATAAACTGAAGATACAAAATGTGGACAAAAGTATGCAACTGCATCTGTTAATTGTTGATACCATGTGTTTCAGCCTCGTGTACTCATACTTGTACTCATAAAAAACACCCTGACACTTCAAACTAATACTACATTTATTCTTGCTGACATCATTTCCTCTTCCACTTTGCAAGTAACTAAGAACAAAAAGTAAAAAAAAAAAAAAAAGTCCATAGTTTAGAAATATATTACGATCAAAACAGGTGATCATAGGGGTGAAAGCTCTTTGCTGTGCTCTTAATAAAAGTATTTTAATACACATTGTGTAATGTTTAAGTACAACCCATTAACTACTCATTATCAGTATTCAGTATCAGCAAGTACCCAAACTGGAGTACTTGTGCAGATTAGTATGGAAGATTATGAATTGCCTGTTCAGAGGCCTGACTTCAACTAATTTGAGCACCTAACCCATATATTGTAATTCAAAACTTACTTTGGAAATAATACAACATATATTATTTTTATAAGACTTCAAATCTTTCAGTTAAACAAAACCTTAAAATATTCTAATAAATGAACAGTCAGTACCTGTTATGTTGCTAATTTCTCCCTCTGTACATCTTACACAATCACAGCAGCAAACAGGTTTTCCTTTCTGGAGAACCTTATGTGTTCCTAGAGGACACTTCTCACTGCAAACTGACACAGGAACCTGCACAGCAACATCAGCATTAATTATTTAGTCTCTTAAAAAAAGTAAACTGAATGAATCAGAAATAGATTTCACCTGTTTTGAATTCTGTGCCCAGATGAACGTCTTGTTTTGTAGATTTAGCTGTTTGTCTTCAGGTAATGATGTATCATAAAGACCAACAGTGACAAAGTCCACAACATCATTGTCTCTAGGCTGCCAGTTGATAATCTCATATTTTGCATCTGGATCTCCATTTTGATTAAAGTAAACTTTCTCTCCTTCTTTGGTTTTAAAGTGTATCTTTTGAATCTGCTGCAAGATCTAAGAAAAGGGGTAATTATCACTTAAGTGTAATGTTAGATAATTTTAAGGATCGTGGTTAAAATTGAATACATTTTTTGGAGATGTTGGAACATAAGGAATTTTGTTTGTTTTAAAACTTACTGTAAGTGGCTCTAGGTGAACACTATTGTTACATTTGTCATTACAACTGAATATATTGTGCAGAGCATGAGCCACTGAATACACTCCTTTGTAAATATTGTTAAAAATGGGCATGAGGGACATGTCAGTGAAGCTGTTTTCCACTCCAGTCAGATCCTCATGTCCAGTACATTCTCTCTGAATTTCTTCTGATTGTGACTGCTTGAACTTACAGCTGAATAATGCCTCCCAAAATTCAGTAAAAAAGTAATTATTTGATAAGTTAAGTGACTTCACATTCAGCATAAACTCTTTAAGACCACTGATATTTGCTTTTGGGATAGAAAGTCCTATAGCTCCATCCAGGATACGATTTTTATCATTTTCTGCAATTTGAGAATCAAATATCCATGACTCACTGCCGACCCACTGATATCCTGTCAAGTTATGTAGAGAGAGCTCATGTAAAAGCACTTCCATGTCACGGTGAGAAAGAAAAGCAACAATAACCTTAGAAGTAGAAGCTTTTATAATGTCAATTATCTTTTGTATTTTTTCAGATGAATCAGTTCTAAAGAAAGGGACAGAATATTCCAGACAGATGCCCAGCTGTTCTGCAGTTTCTGTAAATGTTGCCATGCCATTGTTGCCATAATCATCATTGGTTCTAACAGCTCCAACCCAGGTCCAACCAAAGTGTTTGACCAAATGAGCCAGAGCTCTGCTCTGATAGTAGTCACTGGGAATGGTTCTGAGAAAAGATTGGTACCTAGATTTGTCACTGAGACAAGCACATGTTGCAAAATGGCTGATCTGAAACAAAAATATATATATATATTTTTTTTTAATACATCAAAAAGCTAAATTTCCTAAAGCACACTAAAAATGTCAGAATTGTAAAACATGATAATAATCTAACATTTCCAAGTCACATATGATCAGACTTGCTGAAAAATTGTCAGATTGTTACACATTTTATCAAATTTACTCACCAGTGGGATATGAAATGGTCCAAGAAGTGTAGCTATTGCTGTGCTGGGAGAGGACGAGGTTTCTCCTATTATGGCCTGCACTTTAACAGATCTGGTACATAGATTCTCAAAACTTGAAGACACATTGTCATTGTTGTTCAAGGCAAGGGCAACTTTTAAGCTTCTCACAATGGAACCACACGTATCATAAATATCATATCCCAAAGAAATGCCTGGAAGTAGCTCTGTACTGTTGTTAATTTCCTCAATGGCAAAACGCATGGCTTGAGCAAACTGAAACTCTCTGAAATTCAAACTTGTTCAAACAAAATTAAAACAGTAGTTAATTGACCTGGTTCATTTTTTCAAACAAAAGCTGTATTAAACCAAATGAAAATGTTCCTTTATTTTACTGACACTCTGCAAAACAGATTTTGTGGTATACTTTACCTGATGCATTCTAGTGGCAGGGGTTTTTGAGTGTAAGTGTTCTCTCTGTTCTTCCAGCTGCTGTGAAAGTAGAAGATTCCTCCTAACATGATGTCTCCATCCTTAGAGAGCTGAGGGATCTCAGGGTCTCCTCTCTGTTTGCACAATGACTCCTCAGACTGTGAGAAAGACACCAATAACAGAAAGTGTAAAAGTGCGCAACCCTGCTCTGGCCACTTTTGTGTAGACATTATGGCTTCTGAAAAAGCAAATTAACAGTTGTATATCATGAACAATAATTAATATAAAGAGCTGTCCTGGTATTCACTCATTTGGGATCTACCTGTTATATAGAAACAGTTATGTTCTCTGGTGGGTGGGGCACAAGGAAGGGTATGTTGACAGGTTGAAATCTTGTTAAAATCTTTTTCTTTTTTTTTTTGTATTGGACAAAAATAACCATTCCAACTTTAATAAATTGTACACAATATTTTGGGATTCTAGATAGATAACAAACAATTCAATAAATTCTGAATTTAGGCAATGAAAATTATTTTCAAAACGTGCATATTTACAAATTAATTTTTCTTTGAAAACCTGAAGATGTCTGAGGTAGATAAGGTAACAGCTAAATTATTTTATCACTTTCTACACCGGCATAAAGATTAGCAAACTGTGATACTACACTAACACTTAAACAAATGCAATATCTATAATCAGATTTTATCAAGTAATATTCAAAGGGTGCACTGGAATCATACACCCTGGTAAACATTGCTTTTTCTAAGTTTCCTCCAGACTCATGTTGTTCAATCAATTTGGCGGACTTTTCTACAGTTTTAGCCAAATGTGAAGTTCCTCAAGGAACCACCTTAGGACCAAGTTTATTTAAATTATACATTATTCATTTGGGTCATTTCTTGCACAAATAAACATGTATTTGTTACACAGATGATACATAAATATAATATTCTCTTGTGGATCCTTACTTTTTTATAATATACTGTATTAAAGAGGTGAATTGATGAAAGAGGAGTAACTGTCTTCAGTAAGATGATTGAACATTCAAGATGACAAGTTCTGGGAAAGTAAAAATTTCCTAAATTTAGCATTTAACGTATAGCCTCTATAATATGCTATTCATCCCTATACCAATATTCTAGGTATTAGTTGTGTGTGAGTAACAATAAAAATGTAAAAGAAAAACAATTATAACATCTAAGATATGAACTAAGAAAAACATTAACTAAAAATACACTAAGCACTAATAGCATAAAAACATTACGTCGAACAGCAGCACGGACATGAGCATGAGTCTGTGTGAGCAGATGAGCACGCGTGAACACATCAACATGAAACAGATCAGCAGCAACATGATGTGATATTTCACAGTGATTGTCCTGGTTAGAGATTCATGAGTCTAACAGCTTCAGGGTAGAAGCTGTTCCTCAGCCTAGTGGTTCTACTTTTTACACTTGATGCTCCTCAACCTCCTTCCTGAGGGGAGCGGAGCAAAAAGTGTGTGTGCTGGGTGAGTGGGATCCTTCATGATGCAGATCGCCCTTTTCCTGCATCTGGAGGTGTAAATGTCTGTGATGGTGGGGAGACTGACTCCAACACTCTTCTGTGCATCCTTCACCACTCTCTGCAGAGTTTTTCTTTCTGCAGCTGTGCAGCCTCCATGCCACACGTTGATGCTGGAGCACAGGATGCTCTCCACTGCACACCTGTAGAAGGAGGTGAGGACTGAGCTTCCCAGACCAGCTTGTCTCAGCCACCTGAGGAAGTAGTCTCGCTGATGTGCTTTCTTGATCAGGCTGAAGAGAGGTATGGATGTAGATGGAATAAGGAAAGAGGGTGCAGAGGAGAGGGTGAAATGGAGGAGGATGACTTGTTGTGGCAAGACATGAATAGGGGAAAGCCTAAAGCAGAAGAAAAAAGATGATTTGTTTGTGAGTGGCGTGTAAGTGGAGTGATTCCCAGGGGCTTGGAGAAAATCTGTAGAGAGATGACAATGGTGAGTTTCTATATCCACAGATTATGACAGTAATTGGAGTGAGTTATTATTGCAATGGTAAATGCAGCTGAGTAGCCTAATCAATACTCAGGAGTTTCTGGTTTGCACCACAGTCTACAACGGCTAGAACAGGTAACACTCTAACACAAATGGTAGAAAGCAAGTCTAGTAACCAGGACAAACAGCAGAGCTGCCCACCAGTATCTCCTGTACTACTGATGGGAATAATGTTTTAAATGGGCTTGGCAATTTGTGATACAGTGTTCAGTATTACCGCAATATATGCATTCCTTTGCTGCCATACACCTTTGTTTTTCTTCAGAAGCAAGAGAAATGTAGCCAAGATTCATTGGTTTGTGCTATCGATCTGGTGTCAAGGGTTAGCCGGTCAAAGCAGATGGCCACTTGTCCTGAGCCTGGTTCTGCTGGAGGTTACTTCCTATTATGAGGGAGTTTTTCCTTTCCACTTTTGTCTTTGTGCTAGCCCAGGATGGGAGACTGTGATGAAATGAAGACTCAATGCAATCTGCTGGCTTCCTTCCTTCCTTAAATAGATAACTTTACTAATTATCATTTATAATGTATGATAATGTTTTAGTTCAATGCACTGAGATAACTTACAGTATGTTGTGACTTGGCACTATATAAATAAACTGATTTGAATTTAATTGAATCAAAGCAGGAGGAAATGGAACTGACTGGAAACCATAAGTCGTTGGTTACGTACTGTAACCCCAGATTCTATGAATATAGGCATAGCCCTTTAAGGCTGTCGCTGATGGGTTTATCCCGTTATGCAGAGCATAAGCACTGAAAAAATTTAGTCCACGCCCACCTGCTGTGTGGGCCCCACCCGGTCCGTATAAATTACGTTAAGAGCGGGAAATCGGCTCCCAAAATAGCTTTTTTCTTCAGCCATTTAGGAGCCAGTGAGGCCCGATGCTTAAAGGGCTACGCCTATATTCATAGAATCTGGGGTTACAGTACGTAACCAACGTTCTATTTCATATAGGCTTCGCCCTTTAAGGCTGTCGCTGATGGGTTAAGGGCGAAGCGGATGTGGTCCTCGCCTCACTGGGTCCATTCGAACACAGTAAGAAGCGGAAGCTTGCCCAAAAAACGTCTTGTCACTCAGCTCCCCGTGTGCATAACTACGCATCGCGTAATTATGTGCCATGCACAGACGCATGTTGAGTAACTATGCGTTCTGACAAGCATGAATGCCCCGGAAAACTTTCAACGGGAAGAAGAAGTTGAAAAGAGGGGGGGGGGGGGCATGAACCAACTGGTTCATGGCTGAACAGTATAAACAGATTAATGTCCATGAATTGATTATTGATCAAATGAACTGATTGGTAACAATAGTCATGAACTGATTAGTGACAATAAAACCAAAATCACAGACACGACTTGTGACTGATAACAACATCTCACACTGTAATGCATGCAGACAGAAGTGAGCTTAAACAGAGTTCCATGAGAACAATAACATTCATTCTGTTAGAGCACTAAGGACAGAATGTGTCATGGAACGAGCCGTTACATCACGTAGGTAAAAGCGAATAAATGAGCAGGGTGTTGACCATGCAGCCGCAGTGCAAATGTCCTGCATTGACATACCATTATGCAGAGCAGTCGAAGATGCGATACCCCTGGTGGAGTGTGCTTAGAGGTTGACAGGAGGCCCTAAATCTGATGCTCTGTAGGCTTCAGAAAAGGCCTCACACAGCCAGTGTGACAAGCGCTGGATGGATAACGGCGACCTGCAGAAGCATCTCTATAATGCACAAACAATTGTTGAGTTTGAAACGCATTGCAGCTGTGCGCGTTATGTAACACGTCAACGCCCGCACCGGGCAGAGAAGATGAAAAGATGCTTCCTCTTCTGATCTGTGGTGGGGAAAAGACCCCTCCAACGATATCACTCTTGATTTAAAAGAGCTCGTGATGTTTTAGGCATAAAAGCTGGGTTGGTCTTAAATCAGCTGAGCTGCCCGTCAGCCTAAATTCTAAGGCATGACGAAGCAACAGAGAGGGCAGATAATTACTTATCCTCTTAGCGGGTGTTAAAACCAGCAGCAGGGTTGTTTAAAGAGACAAGAATTTAAATGAAACCTGATCCAGAGGCTCAATTGGAGCTTTGATCAGGGCTCGCAGGACCAGCGTTAAATCCCACTGTGGAGCAAGTGGACGTGAAGCAGGCCTGTGTCTCTGAACATCTTTTAGAAAAACGCTTCATCAGCGGGTGATTAAAAGCTGTTCTGTCTCCGAAACCTTCGTGGCAGGAATAGATGACTGCAACGTACGTTAAAGCGTACTGAAAACCAACTCCCTATCCATCAGCTGTTGTAGAAAAACAACACGCCGCCTAAAAGGCATGAGGTGGCCCCTAAACCTTCTCTGTACACCAGCGCTGAAAAGCCGTCCCCTTTGATGTGTACAGAACTGTGGTAGATGCAGCACGTGAATCTTGAATTGTGCACACTATCTCCTGAGGGAGACCCATCCTCTAAGTGGGACCGCTCAGCGGTCAGACCCACAGGTGTTGACCTATTTCTGGGTAACTCTTGGTCGCTCCTCCTGCCTGAAGGAGAGCATCCTCCCTCCACGACAGTTCCACGACGACCCGACAACAGACGTTGCAGGCCTGGGAACCATGGTGCGTTCACACGCCGGGAGCCACCAGGAGAGCTGTCAATCCCTCCTCCTGAACTCGGTTCAGGAACCGTAAAAAACAGAGGAGGTGGGGGAAAAGAAACGCGTATAAAAGCGTTTTGGGCCACCGGCTGTGAGCAAATGCGTCCCCCCCCCAGCGATGGGTCGTCTCGCGGGCTCAGGGAAAACCATAGTTGACACTGAGCGTTCTTCTCGCGTCGCAAACAGGTCCACAGCTGTTTTGCCAACTTCTGCTGCGTCTGAAAAACATCAGGTCTGGATGGAGGGTCCGGTCCACGTGACGTGGGCCGCCCCTGGACGTCACATCTGCCCCTCTGTTCAGAACACCGGATATGTAAACCGCTCTAATAAAGAGCAGGTTTTGATTAACCCAACACAGTAGCTTTCGCACAATGTGTAACATCTGGGCTGAACGCACACCCTTGATGGTTATGTACGCAGCAGTCATCATGTTGTCTGTGTGAATCAACACGTGTTGATTCTGTAGCACGGGAGCAAAGTGTTGAATCACATTCAGTACTGTGCGACACTCCAAAACATTGATGTGGGCTGATGTGTGGTGGGGCCACAGCGCCCCTACTGCTTGAGATAGGCATGGCCCCCCCCCCCCCCCAGCCTGACAGCAACGTGTCCGTGAAGACTGACCCGTGACGTGGGTCTGCTGAGGGGGACTCCCTCTGACAGAAAACAAGGTGTTTCCCCAGAGTCGGAGGTCTGCTTCCACAGAGGAAGGGACAATAATCATCCGTCGTTTGTTTTACTGGATCCACATGCAGACGTGCAAAACACCTCTGGAGGCGTCTCATGTGAAACAAACCAGTGGAAAACACTGTGTGAGTGACATCATTTCCAACAGCTTCATGACGGAGACAGCTGTTATAACTTGCCAGGTCTTACGTGGCTGAGTTGACTTTTTAAAAAGTGTTGAATCTAGTTTGTGATAAAAGAGTTTTCATGGTGGTTGAATTTAATTCCACTCCCAGAAACAATGTCTGGGCCGGAAAAATCGAGCTTCCTTCCAATTTATGGCGAAGCCCAGATTTAACAGGTGTGATGTCAACACCTGATCCTGCATCAGCGCCTCCTGTCTGAATTGACAGGAGCAGCAGATCATCCAGGTAAAACAAAAACTCTCGTCTCTGTGTTAGGATGATCGGTATGCGTTCTCTGGATGTTAAACAACAGATCCAAGAACGGTCTCACCCCTCCGATCCGTGAGTAAAAACCTTGTGTTTTCTCTCCCTTGGGGAACTCTGTAGATTACTTTTATCAGAAAACACTTGGATTTCTGCATTTAGGGATGAGATTTAGTCTGATGATGACGGGGCCGTTTTTTATAACTCCTCTGAATGGAGGGGTTCGGGTTGCAAACTGTAACTTGTACCATTTGCATAAAACCTTGTCCATCCATCTGAAAAACGGCGAGCATGTTTTAGCCACTCTACGTAACGTTCGTAGGGTGAACGTGCGTTAAGTGATGTGTCATGTTTTGTACGGCTGTCAGCCGTCCGCCCCTCAACCGCTGTCATGCGTCGCGGGAATGTTTTCTGTGTGATCCCGGGCGAGACTTGTGCTGAGGCGAAGCGTGTGACAGCTGATGATGCGGTGGGGCTGCGCGTTTGACGTCGCTGTGTGAACGTTGAAAAGGCGGAGGGCGTGACTTCGTTTACGCCGTGCTGTTGGAGTGAAGGCTGCTAGCCCCGCGGGAGCACCCGTTGTTCTCTGGAGGGACGCGCGCCGCTCTCGCTGGAGGGGCGCGCGCTGGAGGGAGGCGGGACTCATTACCGGGTTCTTCAGCTGCTTCACGTTTAGCTGCGGTGAGCTGCCGAAAGCTGAGACGCGGTGGTGACGGCTGCCCGCGTTGATTCGTCGAGACGGGTGTCGTTTCTTGTGAGAGAGAAGGGCCCCCACCCGAACCAGCCTGCGGACCACATTTATACCGATGTGAGCTGGTTAGCGCCGGCAGCTGTGTGTGTGCGCCAGCATCAACGCAGCGCCGTTGGATGGAGGCTGTTCATCTTAGTGATCGACTCGTCATGTCAAGAGCGGCGGTGAGTTAAAACCCTGTTTAAGGACACCGGCTCATGTGGAGGCTGTTCCATCCCACGAGTGCGAGTTGACACCGCTTGAGTGAGGATCGTGCAGTTCTAGTTGGTAATGAGTTATTTTCGCTTACCGTTGTGCCGTGATCGACTCGTCATGTCTAGAGCGACGGTGAGTTTAAAAACCTTTAATTAAGGACACCGGCTCATGTGTGGAGGCTGTTCTGTGATCGACTCGTCATGTCTTAGAGCGACGGTGAGTTTAAAACCCTTTATTTAAGGACACCGGCTCGTGTGTGGGGCTGTTTCATCCCACGAGTGCGAGTTGACATCGCTTGGGTGAAAAACGTGCAGCCCGGGATTATAACGAGTTATTTTCACTTACCATCGTGCCCTGTAAGCGACTAGTAATGTCTTGGAGCGGCGGTGAGTTTAAAAAGCCTTATAAAGGACACCGGCTCTTATGTGTGCGGCCGCTGTGAGCTCATCCGGGCTTACAGACTGGCTAAAAAACAGACACTTTGATCATTAATGATGATTTATTTCAACTTTCGTGTCACTTTTACACACACCCTCCGGAGACCGTCATTTTGAGAGCTTTCTCTCTCATGAGCTCTGCGATTGTTTGCCCAGAGCGCTGTCTTGCAGGCGAACTCTGGGGAAACGCTGAGCTGCAGGCTGCCGGAGTGAAGAGGGCTGGATTCTGACGGGCGGGGCTGGTGGTGGAACTCAGCGAGAGCCGCGGCCGTGGAAAAGTCGAAGCTTGCTCGCGACGGTCCCTCCAGCGGGGACGGGGTGGGCCGCGCGGCTTGATGAGGTGGCGCACAGCCTCTGGCACCTCCTCCGACTGTTTCACTTCGCCAGCATGGTTTGAAGCTGCTCTGAACAGCGCGTCCGCGATGGCTTCATCAGGTCTTGTGCAGATTCTCCGGCAGCGAGGGGAGTAACGAAGCCAGGTGGATCGTTGGATCATCGTCATCCGCGCTGCAGTCCTCGACAGGCAAACCGTGGGAGAGGCACACATGTTGAGCTGGCGTCAGCTGCCTTACAGAGGGAGTTCTTCGTCTCCAAGGCAGGTCTGCGGCCTTCAATCCCTTGGACATGCTATATGCTAGCAGCGCACGTTGTTGCTAGCTGCGGCTGCCTGAAAACACGTCGGTGGGCTCGATTGGAGAGCGTGGTCGCCGTCTGGTTCCTCCGGAGGGACGGGACGCTGCTCCGACCTGGGCAGCTTCGCTCCGGAAGCTTCTGCGAGGCTTGGCTCCAGGGGGGGGTTACCGAGGAATAGCCCCGCTCGGTGAATCCCTCAACTCTGGTGATGGGAGCGGACTGGGGACCGACTCCTCTAATCTACCAGGAAAGAACCGTCTGCGGCCTCGCCCGTCGAACGTCCTGTTGGAACGTGAGGCCGTATGGATCAAGACGGTGAGCCACAGTGGAGCCCAGTGAAAAACAGCCTTTCCGCCGATCATCCGAACTGGCGGGAAAAAAGGCGAGGGACGTAGAAAAAAGGGGTCCCTTATGTCAGCCTCCTCCTGGGTTCCGCCGGGCAACCCCTGAGGGCGCTGTCGGCCGGGAGCGGTGTGGTCGCCGATGCGAAACGAGGTGGGATGGGGTGAGCATTCACTCAGCCCCCCTCCACCTACACTACGCTCCCCAGGAGGGAATGAGCAGTGGGGGCTGCAGCTGAGCATGCCTTGCCCCGGAGGAACCATCCGGTTCGCCCCGAGGGTCGGCGATAAGAGGAAAAAACACAAGATGGCGTTGTCCAGCGTGTAGTGACCTGTCACTGGGAAATGTTCCCCGACGCTTACCTTGGAATAAGACTGCTGTCATCTTCTCCTCGGGGAGGAGAACTCACCGGACGACCGGAGGTCGACTGCCGGGCCAAGCATCCTTCACAAAGGTTGGTCATTTACACAATTTATCTTCTTTGTTCTTCTGACAGTGCTATATTAGCTCGCTGAAGAAAAAATGGGAGCCGATTTCCCGCTCTTAACGTAATTTATACGGACCGGGTGG